ATAAAACGGAAAGCAATTGTGGAAAGACCTGTGAAGCAATCATCTAGCCTGGGAAGAAACCTGGTATCTTGCTATCTTTTTGTGGTGTTGAAGATCAAACCCAGGGCCCCACACATGGTAGGCAAGCGTTGCTCCTGCTCATTACTCCAGATTTATTTTTATAAAAGTGGCCCTATGATTAGGCTATCCACTAACCAAGAAAACCAATCTTTGGAAGTAAGATACAGGTATCAGTAGTTTTTAAGGCCTTCATCTTATTTTAAGATGCGCCCACATTTGAAACCACTGAGTAGTGATGCTCTAAGATACAAAGACATTGCTTAATATGAGCAGAAGGGCCAGGAAATGAGACCAGAAGGATAGCACACAATCAGATCACACATGGGACATAGATATCCAACAGGTCCATGTGCCGTAGGTAATGGGGGATGACAAAGCTCTTAAAGCAGGGGATTAACCTACTTAGATATTGTTTTGGGGTTACACTGTAGATATTAAAAAGTTCCCACCACCACCTCTTCTACCTCTCAACATCACTCCTCCAAGAGTTCTCAGCTTAGAATCAGGAAAGGAAACTTCTATTTTGTATTTTTGCGTTGCAATAAAAATCATTAAAAATGAATGGACTTACAGATTTCTCCAATTCTCACTATTATGATACTTCCCAAGGTAAAGGCAAATCTATATATATGAGTAACAAATAAATAAAAATAATAATAAAAGATAGAAAAACCACATCTTCCCTCAAGAGCCTTATGCATACCAATACATGCAATCTTCCTCTGAGTTTTGAAGTTAGCTGAAGATAGCTTTGAAGTAAGACCAGGAGCATCAGGCTTGCAATCAAGGGTTTGAATTGAAGAACAATATGACTCCAAATACCACGGAGCTCTGAATACAGGAAAGCTGCCCAAGGCTGCCAACATGAAACTCTCCTCTGAGTTAGAATGTGTATCAGCTGGTAGGAGAGGAAGTGGGAAAAAACTGCGAAAATTTAATTAAATAATGTTTTGCATATTTTTCTCCTTTGGACTCAATTCAGTCACAAATGAAATAGCAATTGCCTGGGATTTCCACAGCATTAATTAATTCAAACAAGGGAAAAATGAATCAGAACCAGAAATGTATTTATTATCCCCTTCTTTCCTTTAAGATCTCAAAACTCTCGTGGTCTCCTGTGATCATAGGAGTTTGCATTTCGAAGACTTGGTATATCCAATTTAAAGTGGATTAAAATATTCTCCCAGACATAATAGTAAGGGGAGGATATTTGTTTTCATTAATTTTTTTAAACTATCATTTTAATGGAAACATTTTTTTCTTTTAAGTGACAGAAATAAGACTTGAAAATGTAACACTGCTAAGGATAAAATGCCTCTGGAAGTCCCTTTCAGGATGGATTGGGGTTTGTCCTCTTTGCACTGTAAAATGTACCTGTGTTCAGAGATTGTGTTCATCGCCCTTAATTCCTGGCAGAGGAAAATAAAAATAAAAAGAAAGAAATAACTTCACTTTAGCTGAGTTAGCTGAGTCAGCTATAGCATCATATCTGGGGATACCAAATTTTAGGAAAATTATAAAAGAGTAAATTGAATATTAATTAGAATGGGATACATATGTTGTAAATTCTAGCCCTGATTCTAACAGAGGTCAGTCTCATAATGGGTGTTCCTTCAGTCCATCTCCAATCTGTGCTAGCACTGTAACACAATGCTGGTAATATATAAGTATTTAAAGTTATTGAGATTTTAATGTAGCCCAGGACTTTGTGTCTTTTTATTCTTTGACTTTTCATTCTTCCTAAAGTAAGAGCTCTGATCTGTAAACAAGTGGAAGATGATTTGTACTTCCAGAAGATTCACACTTTTGTAACGGAACATCCTCTGGTGTCTGCTGTGTGTCTTTCTGGCATGATCTCTGTGGTGGGACAATTCCAAGAGCCGCTGTGGCTCAACATTGAGTTATTGTTGCCACAGGTTCTCTTTTGATGTTGCAGTTCACTTTCTGATTCTTTCTCTATCATCCGTGCAATTCCAGCAATTAATGACAATACCAAAATTTGCTAGCACAGTAAATGTCTTATAGAAGGTAAATTACACTTCATTTATGATGACGCATCCTGAACTTTCTCCATTATATCCATGTGTTTAAACATTTTTAACACAGTGTTGTTTAAACATTTTTAAAAACTCTTAGAATGAGGGTGTGTCAGAATTGTCTGTGCAAAGACAGAAGACTCACACATCTCATACATGGACCATAATTTAAGCTGCATGCTCACTTAACTGCTCTTTTAGCATTCAGGTGAATTTGTTGAATAACAATTCTTTTTTTTTAATGTTACACTTTGGTTAAGCTTTTTTCTTGTAGGGACAGCATAGGTTATGTGAGAAGGGATTCTAACAGGCAGTGACTATTCCCTGTCATATGTGCATGTGCTCCTTGAGTTCTAGGCTTCCTTTTTAAGAGTCAGCTCTATATTTTTACCGTTTAGCTATGCATGCTGATTTTTCAAGCAGCTAACACAGAAAGTTAATGAAGGTAATTGCAATGATCTACAACTCCAGTATTAAATACAGCTCCTGGCTGGGTGAGATGGCTCAGCGGGTAAGAGCTCTCGTGGCACAAGCCTGTGTACTTGAGTTTGAATCCTAGAACCCACAATGGAAAGAGAAAATCAGCTCCTTAAGGTTTATTCAGGAGTACGCTGTGGTGCATACATGGTGTGCATTACAATCGCAATAATGGCAATACATAATGTTTATGTGAACAGCTCTCTTCCTGTTCTGGTGTGATGTGTGTGCAGCTGATGTCATAGAATAGTTTTATCTTCTGGTTTTTCAGTTTCATTTCTTGGCAGTTTGTCATGATGGTTCAGAGCAGTCATCATGAACATTCAATCCTGATCTGTCCCCCGAGCTGAGGAGGTTCTGCTGACCTCTTGCCTCTGTACAACTCTGGGTCTTTTGAACTTCTGTATCTGTAATTAGGGTTCCTGTCTTCACCTTTGTTTCCAGACTCGAGGTTGTTATTTCTCTTCAGTTATTATTCTGGCTTTTAGCAAGATCAGTTTTCCTATACTTTAAGCTGCTACTTACATTTGTCTGTGAACTGACAAATTAGGTAAAAGCAGGGAAAAAATAGCCTTTAAATGTGCTTCTTCTGTTGCCAAATATGACATAGGTGCTTGCACAGGAATTTTACCATTTATTTTTCAATACTTAAGAACATCTATTTTTATTATTCTTAATTATGTGTATATGTTTGCATGTGGACAAGTGTATGTGGATGCAGGTACCTTCAGAGGCCAGAGGCATCAGATTCCCTGGTCCTCGGAGCTGGCTTTATGGACAGTTGGAGGTCACCTGACATTACACTGAGAACTGAACTGTGGTCTTCTGGAAAAACAGCAAGTGCTCTTAACTCCTCGGCCATCTCTGCAGCCCTATTTTTCCAGTTCTTAAACAGTTACTCTTTTCTCTTTGAATACTGAAGACCTAATTGAGCACCCAGCATATGCCAGACAGAACCTCATATCTGTCTGCCTATTGGCCTTATTTCTGAAACAGTCCAGCAAGTTGTATTCATACAGATAAAAATCCAAAGAGTCAGAAAAATTGAATAACCTGACTGTATTACTGGTAAATGTTAGGAGCAGAATTTGAACCCAGGTGTGGTTCTTGAGTAGTTATAATGAACTCAGTGCCATTTAAGTAGATTAGGTAGATTCTGCACTGGGGACTCTCCTTTAAGAAGCTCTAACACAGGACCTTGGGGCACCTCTGTGGGTCTGCATCCATTCTGATTCTCGCCATCCCTACAGCATTACTGCTGGTACACTGTGGAAGTGTCTATTATGCCTGGTATTCAGGACAAACATGTTGAAAGGACCTTCAAAGCCCCCAGTCAAGAGGGGCAATTTTCTCCTGTGGCTGGAAGCTCTTTTGGACTTACAGAATCCTGAGTACACCCTTTGCTATGTTTCTTATACCGGGGCATATGATTCATGATTTAGGAAGAAGCAGGTAACCTCTAACAGCATGGCAATAATCCTAACGACCATGATTTTCAGGGATGCAGATGTTAACCTCTTTGTATGCATCTAAATGAGACAGGGTTTCAGAGCGTAGTCTTTAAAGTTTGTCTTTCCAGGTTCAAATCCTAGCTCACTATGAATGGCATACCTAGGCAAGTTCATGTATGTATCTGGTTTCTCTTATGAATGAAAAATAGGGAAGGTAGCAATATACCTGCTCATAGGACCTACTCCTACATGATTTGTTTTTTAGAACCAAAGAAGTTAATATATGTAGAAGTAATTAGCATAAAGCTTGTATATTAATTGAGTTACAAATGTTAGCTATTACGGTTCTAATTTGAATTTTCTTTTTTTCTGTTTTTTTGTTTTTTATTTTTTCCTTTTTTTCTTCTCTTTTCTAATTTGAATTTTAAACCTCTTTTCTAATTTGAATTTTAAACCCATTTTTAAAAACTCAATGTTTGTGAAAACAGTTAACAGTCTCTGAAAAGCAGGAGCCTTCACTGATCAATGTATTTCAGTTTTATCTCACAAATAACTAACACATATCTCATTATTCCTGTTTTTCTTTTCTTAAAGTCTATCCTCAAGTTAAGGATAGACTGCACAGCGAACTCTGTAATTGCTTTTTGGGTCTATTTCTTGGATCTAGACACAGAACAATCTAAAGTTGCAAGGTTTTCTCTAGAGTGGACCCAAGTTACAGGTGAAGGGTCATAAGGGCATCTCTTCCCCTGGGGATAATATCTCACATGAAAAGAGCATTTCCTGTGCTATTTGAAAGTGCGAGTTTCCTTTGGGCAAGCTGGGTAACCGTGTAGTTCTGTTCAGCAGCCAACTTGAGTATGGAACCAGCATCCCTTGTTCATCTGCTACTTTACTATTGGAAGAAAGTGGCAAATAGCACTGAACTACTCCCTCCTCTGTGGTGTGCATGTGCAAAACAAAGATAAAAACTATGTTTCCTTCGTGGAAGGGTGGGGAGGTAGACAGTAATTTCAAATAGAAATAATGACAGCAATTGAGGTTTCCAATGAGGACACCGTGGCCACCAGAGGAAGAAGGAAAGAAGTTCATTCCTGAAAGAGAGGTATTTGATTCAACATTTAGACTGTCTTGTATGTGCAGGTGCCTGGGACGCTGCTGTTAATGAGCTGATGTGACTGTTTGACAGAGATGCTGTCTGCATGTTTCGATGATGTGGCTTGGAGAGGAGCAGCCTGAGGTATCCAGGACACCTGCAATTAGCAGAGTAAAATTCCAATATTTTGATAGACAAAGACTTTTGTTTCTCGGGTCTGTTGCTTCTCTGTTATACCGATTAATTGTGAGAGTGGCTTATTATTATAATGATTTATCATTTTTGACTAATAACATTGACTCAGAGGAAAAGTTCAGACTCTCAAGAACATGTATAGTACTGTTTTCGGACCTTAACCAACTACACCCCCCCCCACTATGAACTAGTATTCAATCTTGCTGTCACCTTTGGGTGGTGTTTAAACATTTATTTCCAGGAGTATGACACAGTGTGTATATGCCTGTGAGTGTGCCTGTGTGCACCTGTGTGGGCGTCTGTTTGGACTGGGGGAGGGGTGGAGAGAAAGTGAAATTTTAAGGGGATGGAAAGTCAGCGATATTGGATTCAGAGGAGTGGAAATTTAAACTGAAAAATAAAAGGGTTTTGAATGCTTTCTCTCTTAGGAGAAAAGTGAACTCCCGGCAAGATACTTGTTTCCACAAAGAGTATTTATGAATATAATGTGAAATTATAAGAGCAAGCAAACTTTCTAGAAATGGAAGAAAAGTATATGACTGTAAAAATGAGGCAGTGGTGAAGAAAATACTTTCTGAACAAAATTTGAAGCATAGTGGCCAGCTGGGACAAAGTTTTAACAGAACAGGCTGGGCCATTTATAGATTACAGCACTTTTAATTTGGTCAGTGTCACAAAGTGTTGATGTTGATAAAGAATTGGTTGATGCCATATCAATTTCTCCACGTGGAGAAGTGTTTTAGGGTGATTAGTTAAGCTTAGGGCTGGCAGCCAGAAGAGAAAAACAGGCTTTCTGAAGTAGGAGAAAGTTGCCATTGCTGAACCTATGCTCCCTGTAGAAGTCCTGATGGCCCAGGGCGGAAACTGTTTTCTTTCTTCATTTCTTTCAAAAAGTCTTTTGTGTTTTTTTGGCATCATGAACATCTTCGTGTATGGCTGATTAAATTAACATTACTTTCAGTGACACTCCAAGGTCTAAAGTAGCCTTGCCATATAAAAAGTTTCGTATTTGTGCAAATTGGTGCAGTAATTTAAAAGCTGAACCATGTAATGGGTAACTCCCTGTTTCAAGTCCAGCCTCTAAGCCCCAGAGGACCTACCTCGTGTTAAGAAAGGCATGCTTAGGGACCAGGCTAGGACTTTTCAAAAGCAAGCCCTCCTTCCCAAGTAACTACTTTGTCTTTGGTTTGCTTTTTGTCTCCGTGTACCAGGGACCTTTTGTCAGCCCCCTCTCCCCCAAGCAGTCTTACTCGTCCTTCTGCCTTGCTGCCGGCAGTTGACTTGGGTGACGGGGTTTGACCTGAATGACTTCAGGCCTCTCTCACAGCTTGTTGTGGTCTAATGTGTAAGCAGGTGCGCCACACTTTAAATGCAATTTTTTGAAAGTTTCCTTATCTTTTCTGTGTTTCTCATTACCGTACAAGCTAGTGTGCTTCACTGTGACACTTGCACACACATGTTACTGTGGAGCTCGTTCCCCAGTAGAATACACCCATGCATTTCTGAGATTCGCTGTGCTTAGAGGAGTTGTCATTTTGTCAGTATTATTTTGGTAATAAGGATATTATTTGATTTTTGTTAATAAACATAACTATGGACTTTTAAAAAAGTTAGTTGATAAAATGGGTTTGAAGAAAAGGATAAAATACAATATTTTCCATTGATTTTTTTATACTAAAACACCCCATGATTATTGGAGAAAATCGGAAAATATTTAAAAAAAAGCTAAAAATGAGTGAACTCCTTGGGTGATGCTGAGAAACGGCGCAAAGTGTTTAATAGAATATATTTTAGACAATTTTTTCCCTAGTGTTTCTGTTTCTAGAAGAAAATGAAATACTATTAAACATGCTATTCTGTAAATTTCTTTAATTTGAAAAAATTAAAAACATTATTATATGTAGTTACTCTTAAGGCATTATAAAATATCGTAAAAATGAAAACAATTTTGAAATCTTATCTTAACTACCCAGAGATGTTAATGGTTACCATGCTTTATTTCTTCTCCTTGCAAAATTTACCTCATAAATTTCATATAGCTTTATCATAAATCCACAGGAATGCACTGGACTATTCTATAAGCAGCCAAGTCATGGTTCTATTTAGTTACACTATTTTCTAGTTTATTTTTTGTAAATAAGAACGTATCCACAAGCCCACAACCATGTCCAAGGAACAAAATGTTGGCAGCAGCACATATGTCCCCTAGGTGAGAGCTACTTTTTGGACATCAGCATCTCATTAGCATTTCCCCTCATATTACTAAATACTCTTTTTCACCAATATTTTCTTTTAAAAATGATTGCATCATCTTTACAAAAGTAACAGGTACTGCATCTGAGAAGTTCATAGAAGACATAGCTAGTCAAGGAAAAGAGCCTGCCTCCTTTGTCCTAGTCTAACTGTCTTCATTAGGAAAATGCCTTACCTGTTTGTCCACCTATCAAATCCATCTGTCTATCCTCTGTCTATTCATCATCAATTTATCAATAATTTACATTTATCTATAATCCATATAGTGTATATATTTACTTTTAAAATAATAATGGGATCAAATAGTAGCAAATGTTTGGTTTTCTTGCTTAAGCAATCGATCATTTCTATGATGCTACATGTTCATTAACATAATAATTTCCCTTTTATTAAATAAAATTATGCCTTGAGAAAAGTATCATCTTATTTGTGTGTATGTGTGTGTGTGTGTGTGTGCGTGTGTGCATGTGTGTATGTGTGTGGAGGACAGAGGACAACCTACGGGAATTGGTTCCCTCCTTCTATCTGTGAGTTCTGGGACTAAACTCACATCCTCGGGGTCAGTGGCAAGGGCCTTTCCCAGCTGAGCCTGCTCACCAACTCTACTTGATTGCGTTTCATGATTTCCTGCTGTCCTAATATGGACGTTGCACAGGCTGGCTGATAGCTATAGCTATGGTTGCCTCTAGTTTTCTCTAGTAACACCAGCAACCTCTTGTTAAGCCCTTCTAGAGTTCAATTTCTGCACATATCTGCAGCTATTTCTCCAGCTTAAATTCTCAGAGATGCACTGTGGCTGATCTTTAAAGATGTTTGACACACATTGTCAAAAAGCCCTCCAGAAAGGCTCAGTCAGTTCATTCTTAATCCTAGGATGTGAAATCACTTTATCTCATCTCTACCAACACATTGCCATTGTTTTTAACCACTATCAGTGTGACGTAGAAAATGACAGCTAGTTTTTAGTATAATTTACATTTATTTAATAGTTAAATGGAATACTTCTTCATTTTTTGGACTGTCTGCGTGTCTATTAAAAATACATTTCTTGCTCATAACTGCCTGTTATCAGATTGCTGCAAGGATCAAATGAATGACTACATATGTACATATATGTAACTAAATATTTTAGACAGCTGAACACAAAGAAATATAATGCTATTCAAATGGATACTGGATATTTTTTAAAAAGATATTTATTTATATGTTAAAAATCTTAGCCCTTTGTCTTTGAGGGTGCAGACTTTTCTGTTTTCATGTCTTTCTTTTAGAGGCAAGACTCTCTGTATTACTGGGATCCCTGGGTTAAGGGAATGATGTCTCCAAGGCATCCTTCCGAGTATCTGGACTGTAGTGTATACATCCATGCCAAGCTAGAACTAACTTCCAACCGTATTATTCCTACAATTCTCCCGCTCCTATTTTGAGACAAGTTCTCCCAATGTACTTCACTTGGCTTGAAACTCACTATGTGGACCAGGCTACCGTCCTGAGTGCTGGTATTAAAAGCATGTGCCACCACAGCTAGCATAAGCCCTTTCTTAATGTTACAATTACTGTGAAGTTCTTAGAGACATTTGGATTTGCTTTTCAATTTGTTTTGTTTATTATGCTTATTCTTTTGACAAACTTTATTTTTTTATTTTTATTTGAGACAGGGTTTCTCTGTGTAGTTTTTGTGCCTGTCCTGGAACTAGCTCTTGTAGACCAGGCAGGCCATGAACTCCCAGACATCCACCTGCCTCTGACTCCTGAGTGCTGGGGTTAATGGTGTGTGCCACCACTGCTGGGCTTCTTTGGACAAACTTTAAGTAATGAGATTATACATTATTATAGTTTTCCAGTACTGGAGACTCCATCTCAGCTTCATGCATACTGAGAAGTCACTAAACTACTGGGCTACATTCCTGCATCCACATCTGGGCCATTTTGTTAAATTTCTTGTGGTTCCCTTAAAAAAATCTGCTTAGATTCACAGTTTTACTAGAACTATATTAAGTTTATAAAGCAAGCTGGTGGTAATCTTTTAATTTAGATTAAAATGCATTCTTAGACATCTCAGATCTAGTTCCCTCCTGTAGGATGTGGGGAAGGGTCTCTTGAGTGCATGAGTTCTAGATTTCTACCTGGAGCCTAGGTGTGGGTGTGGCTCACGTATGTGCAGATTTAGGCTCTACCAACCTAGGGCTTCGAACTTCTTCTCTGTCTCTCATAAGCAGCCGTGCCATTCTAATGAGTTTGGATTGTTGTTTTGTGGGAAAGAAATAGTTTTACTTTTCGAGTGTGCTAATATTGTCTAAATGTGGAGAGATAAACAGTACGTCAAACTTGCCGCGCGGACGGAGAAAGCCGGAACCCGAGGAGCGGGTGCCAGTGAGCTCGGGCGGAGTCACATGCACCTAAGCAGATAAGGACAGCCAGAAAGATCCCCGACAATTGTTATTTTAGGATCAGGTCTTCTAGGAGCAATTTTTCCCCTATCTTAAATTGTTTTACACTTATGTGGATACTTGTGATAAGAACAAATGTTGCTTGCTTATGGAGTTTCTCTCCTCCCTCAA